GTCAATGAAAAAGAAGATGACCCCTAATGAAATGGAATGACCCAATGGCTATAGCAATGGGCTCGAATAGAACAATCGTGAGGATGGTGCAGAACTGGTCAATGTTTTGTGTGCACAGAGTCACTATGAATTAGAATGGAGTTGACAGCAGCTAACAAGAATAACAACAATGTTGCTATCATTATCCCTTACTTTTTTGTTGTTGTTGTTGTTAGGTGCCATTGAGTCATTTTCAATTCATAGCTGAAACCATGTGACAAAGCAGAACTGCCCCATAGAGTTTTCCTGACTATAATCTTTATAGTAGCAGATCTGTGGAGCCACTGGTTGGGTTTGAGTCTCCAGCTGCTCAGTTAGCAGGCAAATGCTTAATCATTTGTGCCACTGGATTTCTTTATCCCTACTTTACTGATGAGGAAACTAAGAAGCAAGGCAGCAGCAAGGCAGCAAAGACCCAATGGCAGTGGGGTGGGAGATGCAAACCCAGGAAGGTTTGGGATTCCTAGAGGAGGAAAAGGTATATATATATATAAAAAGATGAAAGGGAGAAAAAGAGAGGGGCTGACAATAAGCAACAAGGGAAATGAGAAGAAGAGCAAAGCAAGCAGACAGCAGAAACACAAGCCTACAGAAAACATTAACTACAAGGCAACATGTGTATAAGAAAGAAGGGTCAAATTCTGTCAGCATATCTTCATACTGTTGTACAGGAGGAAAATGCCCAAATTCAAATGTATTTTATAGAAACCCTTTTATTAAATCTAAAACAGGACAAAGTCAAGACAGAAACAAAAACATTCCATCCAGATGAGGGAGACCATCAGCAAGAGACCATCATGGTGTCCAAAGAATTCACATTCACAGGACTGATTTAGTCACAGAGAACAAAGGAATCGTGTCACAAAACCAAGACAGGCTTTCATCAATTGGTCAGTCATAGACTGGCCTATGGAAGCGGGAAGGGGACTACAGCAGATTAGAACATTTACTTATGGTTCTGAGGACCTCTAACCTCTTTGGTTGGGGTATAACTCATGACCATACAACCCTGGTATCCCAATTCCCATTGAAGCTACACCCACCCAAGTCCCTGAGAGGGAAACTGCCCCTTTCTGGGTTGGCTAGGGAAATGGTAGTAAATCCACTGTCAAATGCACTCTGCGTGAGCGCAAAGTTTTTTATTTTGCCAGTTGGTGTTGTTAAGTGCCATCAAGTTGGTTCCAACGCACAGTAACTCTGTATAGGGTTTCTGAGGTAGAGCCGGTAGGTTAGAACTATAGAACTTGTGGTTCGAAAGTGGCCAGAAAAAACTCAGTAGAGGCTGAATTTATGTTAAGGCTTGAAATGTATTTAGGGTTCCCACAGTAAACCGTCTGCAACCCAAGTGCTCAGAATTTAAGCTCTAATACAATGCTAACAGAGTGCAGCGGCTATATAAGGCAAGTACTGGACAATGAACCACACGGTAGGGCGGTTCAAGCCCATGTTCTGAGGAAGAAAAACGAGGCTTTCTACTTCCATAAACATTTAAAGTCTCAGAAACCCCATACAGGGTCGCTATGAGTCAGAACTGACTCATTGGCAATTAACAACAACAGTACTAATAGCATCTGTATGGGAGGCAGCAGAGAAATCTGAAGACAGTAGGTGCCCACTAGAAAGCACAGTGGTTAACCTGAGAACAGCAGCTAAAGATGGAGGGAAATTTGCCTATTAATAGTGAGCAAGGGGCCACCAAGAGTTCAGAAAGATCTAGAACAGTCCAGGCTCTTAATAACTCTCAGAATTGAGCCCAAGGGATCAAGGGATATTTTACAAAGTAACTGGTTGTCAAGTTTCAAAAGTGTTAAGGTCAGAAAGTCAAGGAGAGATTGAAGAACTATTTCAAAATAAAAGGAGACTAAAGAGATATAAGGAGCTCTGGTAGCGTAGTGGTTACGAATCGGGCTGCGAACCTTAAGGTCAGCGGTTCGAAACTACCAGCTGCTCCGCGGGAGAAAGATGAGGCTTTCTACTCCCGTAAAGATTTACACCCTCGGAAACCCTGTACAGGGTCACTATGGGTCGGAACCAACTCGACGGTACTTAACAACAACAACAAAGAGATATTAAGGAGCCCTGGTGGCACAGTGAGTTAAGTAAGCACTGGAAGGCTAACCCCAAAGGTTGGCTGGCAGCCAGACGCACCACAGGAGATGAAGGAATCTGCTCCCCATAAAGACTTACCGTCTCAGAAACTCTAAGGAACAAACAATTCTACTCTGTCCTATAGGGTCATGATTAGTAGAAATCGACTAGATGGCAGTTGGTTTTGGTTGTGTTTGGGAAGAGATATCACAACTAACTGTGACAAGATTCTGAAACGGATTCTTTTGCCATAAGGACATTATTGGACAGCTGGAAGTTGGATGATAGCAAATAATCATTGCCAACATCCTGGTTCTGATGGTTTTATTGTTCTTTATGTAGAGAATGCTATATGTAGGAAATACACATAATAAAGCATTTGCATGGGTGATAGGGCATATTGTCAGCAACATACTCTTAAATGGTTCAAGGCTAAAAAAAAGTTCTTTGCACTAGGCTTGCAACTGTTCTGTAACTCTAAATTTATTACAAAATAACAAGGTTCCCCGCCAGGACAGAGTTTCAAGGTGAGGAGAACAGAATCAAAATTGAGCAGGACAAGGACAAAAGTGATGAGAGAAAGTTGGTGTAGGAGAGGGGACTAGAGCCAGAACATCTCAGAAAGCCAGCCACCATGTAGTTGCGCACTATATAAATCGAAGCTCAGTGAAGCCATTCTGAATCACGCTCAATTTAACAGTTAAGGAAAACGAATTTTATGTTAGAAGTCTTTTTGTGGCGCTATAGGATAAACATTGGGCAGAAAAGTCGGTTTGAACTGCAGCTCAGTGGTTCAAACCCATCAGTCATTCCTAAGAAACCTTATATAGTATGCCTATGAGTTGGAACCAACTCTCCGCACTTAACAACAATGTTATGATAAATGAGCAAAAGGACAGCATAAAGGACAATAAGGGAAAGAGATGACTATGGAGAAGGAAGGAGTTCACCTTGCTTGGGGAGTCTTGGTGTGGCATTGTGAGTTGATGAACTGGACTGCAAAGTTGGTTTGAACTTCAAGGTTGGCAGTTCAAGCTCACCAGTGACTCCTCACTATACAGGGTTGCTATGGATTGGAACCGACTCCACAGCACTTAACAACAACAATAGCCCCCAACCTATGGCCCACTGTCATCTCTCTAGCTCACCTGGTCACTTGCTGTGAGGCAGGACAAGTACGGCAGAATCTCGATCACACTAACATCGCAAAACTGGGTGAAATTGTAGCGGATGTACTGGTAAGTCTTGTCCTCAGCAAATGTCATCACTGCTCAGCTTCTGATGAGAGAGAGGGCTCTGTCTCCCAAAGGGTAGATGGACTAAAAGATGAAAAAAGACTGGAAGGAAAACATCACACAATGCAATACAGTTGGAGGTGGGTTGGGACAAAAACGTAATTCTTTCTCCCTCAATTTTTTGGAATTTCCACTGTTGTTTTTAATGAGCACATCCTATTTCATTATTATCTGGGTCCGAGAGGACCACAATAAATTTGCTGAAAAAGAGAATCAGATCCGAAGCTACAGAGCCCATTGCTGTGTTCTGCATCAGCTCCAGGTCTACATCTCCAAGAGGAACCAGCAGCTGTGCTTGTAAATATACTAGCCCCATCCTAGTACCAAGGCCCCCAGGCTGACAGCAAGTGCTTCACCCAGAAGTATCTAAGATAATAATAATTAGATCATTCTCTATAGATTAAAAAAATGAGGTATCAAAATTTAGAGAATTTTCTACTGAGTGGAAGAGCAAAGAACTGAGCTCTAAAGGCTCCAGGCTGAGGTTCTTCCTAGAACAGAAATGGCGGTCCATCCATCATTATAGCTTGCTCCACACATGTATGTATGGGAGGAGACTACTCACACTGCTGTAAACTCACTGTGTGTCCTGGGGCAAGTTGCCACATTATTCCTCAATCCAAAAGTGGCTCAGGGAATTTGTTTTAACAATGCAATTGTTAAGTGCCATAGCGTCAGTTCTGACTCATAGCGACCCTGTCAAGGGTTTCCAAGGAGTGGCTGGTAAGTTTAAAATGCCAACTTTGTGGTTCAAATCGACCTTGCAGTCCAGTGCTTTATCCCACAGTTCACCTTAAAAGCTTGACATTTTTTAAGTGCCTGCAATACAAGCAAATGCTGTTTGCTTTATGCAGCACTTATCACAACTTGAAATTATAGATATTTGTGCCTGCTGGCTTCTTATCAGCCTCTCCCATCAGGGAGTAAGAGAGACAAGGCCTCCGCTGTCATCCAATTTAGCGTCTGTTACAGTGGGACAGATTAGAAAACACATACGTATATAAGAATTCCAGGTAGTGATAAAAGCTCTAACAAAGACGAGGCAGGGCTCTGAGGAGCTAGAGCCCATGGAGAAGAGGGTGTTACCTGAACTGTCTGGTCAAGGAAGCCTCTCTGAAGAGGTGACATTTCAGCAGAGCCCTTCACAGCTCTGGGAAGATAGGCATTCAAGGCCCAAGGTAGAGCGAGTGCAAAGGTGGGAACGTGGTTGGCACGTGTGTTTGAAGACTAGAAGGCAGATGAGTGTGGCCAAAACTATAAGCAGTGGGAGGGAGCAGAGCTGGAGGTGAGGAAGGGTGACAGGCCATGCATGTAGGATGCTGCAGGAAAGAGTCCTGGGTTTTAGTGGGAGTGAAGGGGTGGTGAGCAGGAAAAGGAGAAGATTTGATTTATGTTAAAGGCCTCTCTGGCTATGTATGAGGACCCTGAGCTGTAGAGAAGTCAGAAAGGAAGTACAGAGACAAAGCAGGAACCACAGCAGGGGAGAGATGATGAGTGTGGCCTGGATAGCAATGAGGGTGTGGGCAAGAGGTAATTAGATTCCAGCTGTTTTCTGAATGTAGGAGGTGAGTGGAGAAAAGAATCAAGCAGGGTGCCTTGGAGGCTAGGCAAGTGGATGGTGTGTTTACCAGAGTAGATGAGAGGGCAGGGCAGGAGGAGAAGCAGTGGCACAGAGAGTTTTGAACAAGTGAAGCTTGAGATGCTTTTGGATGTCAGGAAGAGAAGGTGGCACAGGAGAGAGGGCAGGACTAGAGTAGGAATAAGTGCCACCAGAGTTGGTAGTGTCAGGCTTGGGTGAGACCTCTAGAGCTACAGAGCAGAGAAGATCTAAAAGCAGCAGAGTGGCCAGATCCTTGCCTACCTGCCTCACATTGCTTTGCCAACCAACCACCAGGTGCTTCATTCCTGGTGGACCAAGTGCTAATGACAGAAGGTCATGATGAGAGAAGTGGCGATGATGGGGGATTCTTCTTCCCTCCGCATCACACCCAGGTTGGTGCCAGGAGGAAGACAGCAGAAGCAGGTCTGCTGCATCCATAAGGACTGAGCCTTTAAAGGAGGTTGGGATGGATTGATGTGGTGCAAAATGCCCACTTTTGTTCACATTTACTGGGGCAGGCACTTTCTAAGATTCTTTCATGTAATTCTTGCCACAATCCTATGAGAAAGGAAGTAAGGCCAAGTTACAGCTGGCCAGAGGACACGACAGTATTTGAACTCAGTCTCACTGATTCACTGCAGCTCACTGTACACCCTCTCAACAAGGAGCCACAAAGCCCCGTGCCTTCAAGTCCAGGGAAGGACCACTGCAATAAATGTGTGTGTTGGGTGGGGCCGAGGGGTACTCATCAAGTAGGATACGTATTTATTTCCTTCTCATGGCACTTAACAACATTGAGAAATGTAAATCTTTCAGACCGTTAGAACCCTGACCTCCACTGCACCTGCGATTCCCACTTGCTGACTGCCCTTCCAGATGTTTATGAGACTTTCACAGCATCCATGCAGAGAACACAGTTTTTGTTTGTTTTTCCGATGTTTTTTCATATCAGAGACAGTGACAGAATGCTCCCGGCACTGCTACAAACAGAGTTTCCCTTCCGAGTGTGCCAGAGGCTCCGACCACACTCCGGAAACAAACAAACAAAAACCCCATTCAGTCTTGATTCTGATTCCTGGGAGGACCCAGGTCTGGGGAAAGTGGCAAGGGCCCCGCAAGGAGTGTCACCACGGCAAGAAGTGGCAAGACCCCCCGCAGCCCTGGATGCCTAAGTGCGGCCGTCGTCACCGCCACAAGTCGGCGCTCCGGAGCTCGAGTTTGCCCGCGGGTCACCCTGAGCCTGTTGTGCCCGTCTCCTTCCGGGCCAACCTCCCCTCCAGTCCTACAGGACGTCCACGCCACCGTCCCCCCGGTGCGCCCACGAACCCATTTCTCCCGACCCCGCTCTTCCAGTGTCCCAGTGCACTCAGTATCTCCCGGCGGATCCCTACTCGGCTCCTGCCGCCGCAGTCTTCCTTCGGAAAAACCAAGGAGCCCTTGCGACCCAAGCCAAGAGGACCAGGCGCCCTGGATGTCTGTCTTACCTCGCGCAGCCACGACCCAGCAACCTGCCGACTACCCAACAACCGGAACCCTCTAGGCCCGGAGGGAGGGCACCCGGGATGGGGCCGAGCCGCGCGGCCATTGGCCCGGTAGCATGGGCGGGAACTTGGCTCCGGAGACTGGACGAGTCGGACTGCGGGCTTTCGCACAGACTCGATGCGTAGGGGAGTGGATTATTTTCTTCCTTTGCTCTTCTCTAGAAACTTTTAAGGAAGTCCAGGGTCCGGCGATATAGGTATCAGGCCAACAACCGGCCTCGGATTCTTTACCTTGCTTGAATTCAGTCCCCACGCTTTTTATGCGAAGCTCTCCCAATTCCCTCTCTGTGCTCAGAGAGATGAGAGTCTTAATGTGGTTCGTTCCCGGGTCCTCAGTTGATGATCAATAAATGTCGAATGACACTTCAAAGTTCATATGCCCAACCAGACAGTACGGTGAGTGTGAAGAAGCAAGATCGGGGCTGGGGAGGTGAACATGTATCAACTATCTGTAGCTTTTTAAAAATGTAGAGAAAAGCGGACACATCATGTCTATAGTATTTTTGCCAGGTGCGGGATAATCTGAAGCTAATCATGAGGGAACATCAAACCCATAATTAGAGATATTTTACAGGGGGTGCTGCACAAAACACTGATAGTAGTCATTAACCTTGCTACATTCGGCTAATGTAATAAAAATTAAAGAAAATATAAAATTCATCTTCTCAACCCTACCAGCCACATTTCAAATGCTATTTTCACATGGCTAATGGTTGTCATGGAGTCCTGGTGTGGCTCAACAGACTGCAAAGCCGGGACTGAGAACTGCAAGATCAGTGATTCAAACCCACCAGCTGCTCCTTGGAAACCCTGTACAGGGTCGCTATGGATCAGAACCGACTCGACGGTACCGAACAACGCTACCAGAGCTCCTTTCTAGACTCCTTTAATCTGAAACATTTCCTCAATCTCCTTGTTTTTCATGACCTTGACATTTTTTAAGTCATTCTGTAAATCAGTACTGTACAATGTAACTTTTTTAAACTGCTCAATAGAACTTCTTGAGATACAAAGAAGAGATACATACTGTTCAATATGACAACCGTTTGTTGTTGTTGTTAAGTGCCATCGAGTCGGTTGACAACAATAAACATACAAAAGGAGCTCTTGTAGCATAGTGGTTACGAATCGGGTTGTGAACCTTAAGGTCAGTAGTTCAAAACTACCAGCTGCTCCATGGGAGAAAGATGAGGTTTTCTGCTCCCGTAAAGATTTACAGCCTCAGAAACCCTGTACAGGGTGCTATGGGTCAGAACCGACTCCACAGCACATAACAACAACAACAGAAAGCCACCACAACGAAATGCAATGTGGGAATCCTGAAACAGAAAAAGGACACCAGTGGGACAACAGAGAAATTCAAATAAGGCTTTTGTATCAGTCCAGAATACTGTATCAATGTTACTTTTCTGTTTTGATCCAGGTACTGTGGTTATGAACAATAGAAACATTGGTATTATTTTTGTAATTTTGTGCAAGTTTGAAATGATCCCAAAATGGAAAAGTAAAAAAGAACATTAAAAAGCATCTTTTGACCCTCTCTTGACATTTTAATTATTTTTACCCTCAGTTTCTGTATTTTACTCTATTTTATTAGCAGAATTCACTGATCTCCAGAAAAATGTGTCCAGAGCATGATCTAGGACTTAAGCTGTCCCCCAAGCGAGGGCTTTGGGAACTCCCACACCCAAGGTTCATCCCCAGTTGAGTGGTCAGTGTTCCAGATTGGGCTGTGGCCCCCCATGTGCTGGCTTACCAATCACCAGCTCACATCCCCGCCCCCCTCCCCAAGCAAACAGAGGACAGGCCCAAAGATAGTGCCAGAGTGC